GAAATACGACAAAATAGGCAAAACATGGTAAAATTTATCATTACTATTATTATTATTATTATTAGTAGTAGTAGTAGTAGTAATATTGATGGCAGTTGGATAAAATGAAAAATGATTCATCAATTGAATATAGAAACAATTTTCTCACCACACACTACAAAATAACTGTAAGACAGAAGTTAACTTTCAGGTTTGTCTTATTTAACAATATTTCATTGTTGTTAATTTAATTCGACATCATAGGCATAGATGCACATCATATAATACACATGAAGGTATAAGAAAACAGTATGCAATAATATACAACATTCATACGGAAATTGATATGTATATCTATGTACATATATGTATATAACTGTATTTATGTGTGTGTGCTGAATATTCATGATCGCACTATTCTAATGTCCTAATCCCAAACAGACAATGAAGAATAAATGATTTGTACTTAATTTTTTCGACTAGATAGACCTCAGGCAACACAAGTTTTTATTATGTTGAAACATGTTCATATATATATAATTTAAGTGTTTGTCTACAGCTGATGGGGCCTTTCTAGATACACGTCGAAAACAAAGTGGTGTTTATTTATAAAAGTGTATGTATTTAAGAAATTAACAGTAAAGTTTATTTCTGCATGAATGCTTTTGATGATGTATATTAGTTATTTTTATGGGTACTTCAATTTCCTTATCTTTTTGTCAATAGTTAATGGGATTATCAAGATATATATAATGGTGAGAATGATAATATAAAAACATCAGAAATAATAACAATTTTGATATATTGAGTAAGGTGGAAAAAAGTTTTAATTGTACGATATGAGGAATTCAGATAGATATAACACACTGAAACGAGTCATGCATAATATAACTAGATGACCATTCATTGGTCTAATTCAAAACTTAGTTTTTATCTACTGTATTTAAAAAACTGGAAGATTTAATTTAAAACGTTAAGTTTAGTTCACGATAGTTATGATTTTTCTTTCTAAAAGGGAGAGGATCATCGTAATAGCATTTAATCAGTATCACATACCAAACATGAATAGAATTGTAGTGGACAAGAAGAAGAGTGGGGACAATCGAATGTATTTAAGCACAAATTACAATCCATCCAGTAAACACTTAATTTGCAAAATAACAATCAATGGTCTCAATCTTAATTGTTCCTTCTGCAAATATCACTCAGTCTTCTCTGATTTCATTGTTCATGCATTTTCATACCGATTGCGCTTCATTCCTGTTCCTTCCTTATCGATCTTCTGCCAAAATACATTCTCTTGTCTGATCATCACCATATACTACTTATGTGGATATAAGTAGCCCACACCACAGAATGATTACAATTCAATCCCACTATTAAATGGTTACATTCATATTTTAAATCAATACAAAATTAACTTTCAAACTCAGTCCTAGAGTCCAATTGAATTCACCCTATACTTTCAGGATTTTTCTCTTACAAGCAAAAGAAACCTTAGGAATATGTATAAATAAACTTAATGCATGTTCATAAAAATGTTTGTTCAGTCATTTAATTTACTACTGAGATTCTACGTAATTGCGCTTGCGTTTCTCAAACCTTTTCAAAATCTTGTTCAATTCTAATTGAGGGTCCTATTCTGTTTTCACAACTTTATTCGTACTTTTATTCTTATGTAACCAGTAACAATGAAAAAACCCAAAAAGTGCTTTGAATTTTCTTGAATTCGCACTATTAGGTACTGGTCGATAAAATGAACCTGGAGTCTTGAGTGAACTGGTGGTCCTTGTCAGATTCAAAGCTGTATCACTCAGCTTTACAGTTAGGGACATTACCACTGAGCTTTTAGGGCCTCCTTTAAGAAAAAGATGTTTAAATTGGATGATCACTGAGTTTTAATCTCACAGGAAGAGCAATTTCTCCTAAGGTCACAGATACGCCCTGACGGTGAAGGTCATCTAGTAAGCAACATATTTCTATTAGTTTCCAACCAACCATAATAAATAATTTACTATCGAAAAATCGTTTGCTGTAATTCGAGTCACTTGAACTGGCGGTCGAATTGAAGTCTGATTGACACAAATTAATCAACATCAAACACTAGACAAGCATGATATTGGTTTTTACTCAGTGATCGATCCACGTACACATACATTTCGTATAGTCAACATTTTGTAGGAATGATTTATAGGATAAATAAAATGGTAAATTATCTTGTTCACATGTGACTCACAGATGATGACAAAAGAAGACCATCAACAATCTTCAGATCGCAGGAGGTAGATGAAATTGAGAATTTACCACTAATCTATTTCGTTATCAAGTAATCTGAATTGAAATATTAAGTTACTCAGTTTCCGTAGAATAAAATCAAATTGGCCTTATAATCTACAGTTTTTCATGGAATAATTACATTTAAGAACGAAGTTGATCTGAAAAATGTGATTTATTCGCGCCAAATATTTCTTAAAATTTGATCACATTTCACAGACCAATTTCGTCTTTTTGTTTTATCAATGGGATTAAGTGTCTTAAAATAACAATTGAGTTTTAAACAAGTTATAATCTATAATAATCTGCTTTATTTTATATTCAGAATTTCCTAAATGTATCCAAATGTGCGAAAATGATAATAATTAGTGAGACCATTAAAATCTTTTCTGTATCTCCAATAATCTTCTACAAAAAGTGTTTGAAGTCGTAGTGATATGATTACCTAGTTGAGTAACTTTGTATACATAATTTTCTAAAATACATAATTTAACATAGGACCCTATAACTCATTCGAAATCTTACTCTACTAACTTGTAGTTTCGATTGCCACACTGTTCTAAATTCACGCTTGTATTATTCCTAATTGTTGTCTGATACCTTCATACATAAATTTAGGTGTATCCTAGGTGCTTACTGAGTTGTCCGGTCATCTTTTTCTCCTCTTATAAAAATTTCCTCACACATGCTAATTTACACACTCCCTTAGCACACAAAATATCTTCAGGGTAGATGTGAATGCATTTCGTCAGTTGATTTACTCATAGGACAGTTCCATCCTCCTGATTGAGTTGCACATTACAGTCATAACGAATACGTTACCTAAAAACTGCTGAGTTGGAATTCAGTAATCCATAGTTCCAACATCGTTACATGATATGACAACAATCCATCCATAATAACAACGGTACTTTAAAGTGGGGAATAATGTTTTTGTTCTATCTAGATGCATATGTTTCAAAGATGAACTGACTGAAATACTTTTTTGGCTCACTACATAATTCGTCACTGACTTGTAGACATTCAAACAGCAATAGTTTAGGTTTTTTTATGAAAGTAAGTAGTAAAGTGAATAAGTAAGTAAGTAGATTATCAGTATCATATTGTTACATGATCTATAATTTTCAGTGTTACTTCTGATTATATTATTTCGTAATAAAAGTCATTTTGTACTGGTTGTTCGACTCCTTCCTTTGTTGTCATAGTGTTCAACGGGTTAGTTTCTTTTGGTATTTAGGCACCCGATGCGGATTACTTGAATATTGCCATTACGTCACAAGTATTTAATAAGCCGATTTGGATAATGTACATATGTATCAAGGACAATGCATATGTAGAATATTATTTCAATTAATTATGAAATAAAATAAAATGTCCTACCTCATTTTTTAGTTATTCATTACAATTTTATTTAGTAACTCGTTACCATGTTAACAAACCTAAACTAATTCACTATATTATCACAATTATCTATCACTGACTTTATAGATTATGAAAATACACTTTAATGACTATATTAAAAATAAAAAATAAAACCAGTCATAATAATATTAATAACACAACAAATAATACACAATTAATCATAATATATTTTTTTGAATCTGTATGATCTCTAATCGAATATGAATTTATTTGCATAGTGATGATATTTTTATATGCATGTACTTGTGTTTCCGTGTGTGTGGGTGTGTAAGTGAGTGTGTGGGTGAGTGAAATAAAACCAAAATGAAAACATCTATCACTATAGTTACTGATATTGAATATCTACTAGATGTGTATTCATATGTATGCGTGTATATGGCCAATTATAAAGTTAATATATATTTCATTTAATGTCCCTTCTTATAATAATTTTGGTATTGTAGAGTATAAACATAACTACAAATTATGTCTTTGTATAAGAGTATAGTTTTATCTATTTCATGGATAATATAGTTAAATGTACATAATTGTTTGTATGTATTACTGATTCTTAATTGTACTCTCATTAACAGTTTGGCTTTTTAAAACAAAAAAATTGGCAAAAACTTCCTGTCTGTATTTGTTTATATGTATATATATATATATAAATATTACACATTCATGTCATTTTGACCAAACAAATGATCTAGATAGCAAGGCAACAAAATAAAAATTCTTATCTACATTATATATAACGATAGATAAACGATACACATTTGATGATTTTTTTTTCTCTCTAAGCAAAAACTAAAGAACATAGTAGATAATTTGTAGGTCATTCAAAAAATCAGCTTAGTTAGTTAAATGGGAGTATCAAGCACCTGTCGACATTCATATAAAGTAGTAATTCATTTAGATGATCAATTAAGACATATATACATATGTATACAAATGGACACGTGTATACATGTATTCATACAAACAAACAATCTATATGATATTTCATAAAGTTAAAATAACACTATTTTACATTCATCTTCTTTGAATAAAATTAAAAAAAATATTGAAGGAGACGAATAAGTCTTCTAGTGAAAAACAAAATACTGAAACCCTAGATTTTGACTCAATCACTTATAGACATAAAAAGATGGTGATAGAATAATAATAATAATACATTAAATGAAATGAAAAAAGTATAGAATACAATTTTGGATTGGTTCCCAATATTATTTGTTTTTAGTAAAGTCCTAATTCTATCATGCCCACCACTAGTATGTCTATATATATATATACATGGTAGAATTAAGAATACAAAAGACATTCATTAATTTTAAATCATTTTGAGAATGGTCTTTCGAATTGAAGGTAAGTTAAAATTATATTATTTAACATAAAGTAATTTGGTTACATAATAAACTAAACCATATGCTTAAGTGGAGATTATGATTCGTTGAATGATAGAATGAATAAATATATAGATTTGTAAATAAAAAGTGCAGTTATATTACGCTTGGCTTTAAATAGTAAGATCTATTCTTTAAATGGAAATCGGTTTCATATTTGTCATTGATTACTATAGATGTATATCTGTAATCAAGTAAGACTCTATGCTTTGTCGAAAATTCATCCCAAGGTCATTTATAGCTTTTTTAGAAGAAATACTAGTTTCTGCGTTAGAGAGCACCGACTAAATGAACGAATAGTATATCAAATTGTTTACTTTAATGGCCAGATTTTATAATTGCTCCATTAAATTATATCAAAATAAAATAATTAATGTAACATCTTACGAAATCAAAATCGATTTTCTTAGAATAACCTCCAAATCCTAATGATCCTGTGAAAGATATAAGGGAAACAGAATTTAACAGCAGATTTATGTTGATTACTTTATGAAAGTTTATATGAAAAACTTTATGTCAAGAAATAGACACTTTTCAACTGTTCATTTTATTAAGAACATGAAATTCAAGGGTGAATTTGTTGTTAAAAAGGAAAACTCTTGATTTGACAACTGAATATAGTTTTTCCCGGTTAAAAATTACAAAAGAAACTTTCAATGACTAGTCATAATAAATATAAGAACTCTCGTCTAAATTAGAGGGAATATTTTCACAGTACTTTAGCGCCGACTTGTTGTAAGACATTAAATAGGAATAATATATTTTAAAATTAGAATATTATCTGGAATTTTGAAAATCTTAAATAAATAAAAAAACAACAATAACATATTGAAGGGGGTTTAGTTGAGATTTTAGTAATTTTATATGATTAGAATCATGAGTCAATTGAAGCTAGACCACTATGGAAAACCTAGAAGCACTGGACGGCCGTTTCGTCCTATCATGGGACTCCTCAGCAGTGCGAGGCGGGATCGTGGATGCGTCCAGGTTTTCCATGGTGGTCTAGCTTCAATTGACTCATGATTTCAACTATATAAAATAATATATTGATATATCTAAAAAATAACCAAAATGTTGATTATGTCATTTACTGTTTGTTTACATGATTCATAGAATTGAATGGTTGTACACGATATATCAATTGAATTCAATGATAATCTATTTACATTTGAAAATGATTTTAGTTTAGTATGTAAATCTAAGTAAACAAAACAGAATTAAACAAAATTAAATTATTAAGATTTAATGGGGATTACACATTGACGAGTAATGTAGGTATGGAGATATTATTGAATACGGAAGAAAAGTGAATATTTTAGTAAAACGTGTTCCAGAATTGTAAAGGACTAATACATATTCATTGTAATTAACATTGATTTGTGTTACAAACTCGTTGCATTTCGATGATTTCGTTCAGTTACATTATCCCTTTCTCAAGAAATATCAAGATTTATTCATCAATAACCTATTTTGAAGTCAGCGTTGCTCGTACCTGTATCATAAAACTGGAATTAGTGAACGTCCATCATTTCTTTTGTATATTCAACAATTTCAGTTTATATTTCACAGCTTTGTCAACTAACCACCCTCCTTTTCCAAAACAATATTTTCAGCCTACTCTATGGTCAATAAATAACTCACCTAGGAAAGACCAGTTAAGGTCTTTTTAAGTTCTTCAACTCCAGTGATCATGTTGTTCAGATAAAGAGTAACATGAAGTAGTCTGCTGTGTAACTCGATCATCATTAAACATAGTATCAGACTGGAATATAATTTGGCCTAACTATTTGTAGTCGCCTGGTTGGAGTGACATTTTGTAGTAATTTATAGATAAATGGAATTTTGAATACATGCGGACTACTGAATAAAATAATAGCCTAACATTTCATCAATTTGAAAGCAATTATTTTCAGCCAAATCGACAACTCCACCCTGAAAGACTGAAAGGTTAGAATTAGCAAATTCAGAACCATATTTGGAAAAATTAATTTGTATTCATCTTAAGTTTAAATGTTGACTTTCTGGGATTCTGAAGCTTTTCTATGGTTACTTCGAGTCCAAAAGCACGGACAACGGAGGAGGATTATGCATAAGCTTAGCAACACCATTCCGTAAAATAAAAACCTGATAAGAAACCCCTGACCAGAAATAATCATAAGGACTACTTAAACTGCCCTGGGAGTTGAAAAGTCTTCTTATAGAATAGTTACAACACCTCATAGTATAAACGTATATTCTTCAGAAGTCACGATACCGATTCCCCTTTTAACAACTGGATCAACGATTAATGTAGGTACATGGAGTATCCATACAATGTGGGAGACCAAAGAGAACTGTTCAAATAACGGTGGAAAAGTGAGAAAAAACCCTGGAAGCATCCGAGTGAAAGCTGTGTCCAGGTTACATAAAGATTTTTGCCTATTATAAAAATAGATACCTAATTTCTTAAGAAAATCGATTGTCTTTGACAATGCACCAAAAATCACTTATTGCCACTAAGGTAATCGATTAGGATTACATTCAGGGACTCAGTTCGAAGTCAGCTTTTATTTTAGTTTTGTTTTGCATGTATAATTCAGAGATTGATATTATACAGTATACTAAGTTTTTACAACTCAATAATGCTAAATAAATCAAGAGTTGCTGTTTGGCCATTTGTCTAATTGATTTAAAATCACATGAACTATACTACCTTAGACTATACACTTGGCCGTTAGAATTAAATTACCACTAACTACTAGACGAAAATGACAACGGTTACTATTCAATGGTTAATCAACGAAATTATTTTATTATCATATCTAGTGATGAAGACGTTTCTTATATTTTGAAAATAAAGCTCATTAAAAAAAACAGATCAGTTAAAGAACTGTAGAAAATCAGTAAGTATTTAAAGGTTATTTCAACTTAATTTGCAACTAGTCAACATTGATAATCTACCATTCTGTACGAAATCTAATCTTGGATCATCTCATTAAAGTAATTCTTTTGATTAGTATTATATGTTCAATGCATTTTTTCACTAAAATGTTTCTACATATTAATTGAATAGACTAATTTGTAACTATACAAACTTCAATTAAAACAATAAGATCCTTCTAGAAAAATGTCCTTTTAATTAGATTGATTATTCAACAGGAAAATAGATAAAACAGTTATCGAATTAAAAGTTTACTTTCATGAACTACAAATTATTACCAGTAAAGTCTAAACATGTACTAACTTGAGTGGTAATGTGGGTGGTGAAGATCGGCCTAATCAACCACTCTGCCTATATCTGCAAACGATTACGAATGCTACAAACAGTCAAAGTATAAACATTTACGAATAATGAATTGCTTCACCGAATTACCTTTTATTTTCTGAAGTGCTCTTTTACAGTGATTCAGTCAGTAGAATGATAAAGAAGATTGCTCAGTTGAAAGAAAATTTACTTTAATAGGAAAAAGTGACTTAATAAATCAAGAATAGATAGTGCTTTCATATTCCATATGTGGTAAAAAAAGAGCCCACAATGACTTCAGTGTTAATCATTTCCTTCTAAACAACTAAACAAGATAAACTCAGACTAGTATAATCACGAAAATGTGGGAAATTCCATTTTCAATAATACGAAATAGAATACTTTGTAAATCGTACCACATGTAATCATAACATGATGACATCAACAGAACTTCTTATTATACTCAACATAGATTTCAATGTAATTAAATGATATATTTTATCCATCTAAGCTAATTACTCATTAATGGTCTTAAAGTGAGTTGATGTAAACAGTTTGCTTTTTAAGAAAACAACAACAAACAAACAATGGATTGGTTGAAGTTAGTCATTAACACCGATGGATACCGGCTCAATGGTCTAGTGGTTAAGCGCTTGCGCGCGAGACTGATAGGTCCTGGGTCCGAATCTCGTTAAGCGGGATCGTGAATACACACTGCTGAGGAGTCCCGCAATAGAACGGAACAGCCGTCCAGTGCTTCCAGACTTTCTATGGTGGTCTAACTTCAATTGACTCATGATTGAAAAACATTACTTTTTTCATTTCTTTTAATTAATTTCAAATATCTACTAACTAACATATTTCATATTTTCTTCCTAGTAAATCTTGGTAATGGATTCCTTTTATTAAAAACAATGAAACGTAAATTTGATCATATACAATCAGTTAATAAATTCAATATAAATATACCAAAACATATAAGACATTGTCAAAAATATTGTACATATTGTAGTCCTGAACGATATACTATATTAATACATAATGAACATTTAAATCAAATTCATTATACAATGTGTCCATATGATGAATTATTAATTATGGCTAAATCAATTTGTACAAATTTAATGCCAGATGATAATAATGATCATAACAACCAGAACGATACTACTACTACTACTACTACTACTACTACTAATAATAATAATAATAATAATAATAATAGTAACAATAGTATAACAATTTTAGTCTTATCGTAAGTTTTATATTTGTTTACTAATATAAAATTTATTTGTTAAAAGATCCCCATCATATTAAAAGATTAATATTTGAATGAAGAATATTCTTTCCGATAAATTCTCATTAGATTCTACAGTTATATATCTAAATTAATGATCCGAAAAATGGCCAGGTTAAGGGCTAAGTGCATCGTTTAAAGTTAGAGCATGTGGAATTAGAACTTTTAAACAGAATAGAATAAAAGCAAAGATGTATAGTGGTTAACAGTGGAATCCAGGACGCGCGTTTTGTCCTACTTGGGCCTCGTCAGCTGAATGCATCTGCATCTCAGAGTTGATGTTCACTCTGGGACTCGAACCCAGTACCGTTTGCTTCAAACGCCATCGTGTTATCGACTTAGCTACTGAGTTCTGATTGTGCAATGGGACGAAGTTTAAATTTACACGATGATTTTTACTTGTATCTTCCCATTGTTATTTAGGACTGCAATTGATCAGTCTCTTGTTGGCATATATGCATCCTGTGCGGACTGCCTCGATATTGCCTGAAGTTACAAGCTTTATAAGCAAAGATAGATAATGGCTAGCAATAAAATCCAGAACTCATATAGAATCTTAAGTTGAATCAGCTTATATGTTAAGTGAAAATTTAAGATCCATGATCAGAATAAATATGGGTCAGAGAAATAATAGTGCAATTACAATTCGATCAAATGTTTAATGGAAGACTACGTTGTGTGAAAAATTAGTAAGGTGTAATAGTGAGGGATGAATGCGAAGTGACTGAATCATGTATTGGGGAGATGAATAATGATGTTTAACCAATAGTAATAATAATAGTGATAATAATAGTACAATAATTTGTGAATAAAGATAACAGGGACAATCATATTTGACTACGAAAGGTCGGATTATTAATTAGGATACATAATTGTAGAGCCTGAAGAGAATTCATCGAAAAGAATATTATTCATTCAAATAGTAGTCTTGAAATTTATTTGTTGCTTTTCAAATAAATCTACATCGTGTTGAATGCTTTGTTATCAAACTAAGCATTCTGAATATTGCAATTTCATAATGACACAGAATATTTTGACTAACCTGGCCAACTTTGTTGACCAACATGTCAAGATTTGAAGATCGTTGGAAGCTGACTAACCGATAGTCCCTTTTAAGTTGTTAATGAAGAGTTTGTTCAGTGTGTTTACTTACTTAAACGCTTGTCATGAGGTCTATTCATACTATTTCTGTTTATAGTTTTAAGGTTTTAAATAATTATGTATGAAAAAATCGTTTAAAGAATAAGTTTGATAATTTACTTGGAACGGTTTGAATGGGAAAAAAAGAAAAACTAATTTTTGACGTTTCATCTGTAGTTAAAAGCAATCTATACCTCATTATTTAAATGATCTATACTTATTCCTACCGTATAGTGTATGTGAAGTCAGTGGGTATTTTCTGGACAGAAAATATATCCTATATGAATTCTTAGAGCTTCGTCAGTCTTTCAGCATTAATATAGAAAATATTACATTTGATCTTTAATTTATTAACAAATCAGATATAACTATACAGACATTACATTGAAGAAGCACATAGTATACAAATGAAATTTATAATTTTTCCTGGGAAGACATATAACCATGTTCAGAGTTTATCAGTTAAATAGAATTAAGCGTTTTGTTGCGACAATGATTTACCTGAGGATATATTTCGTGAATGGTATTAACAATAAAGAAATATACTTGTAGCATTGAATTATCTGTTTTTGAAATTTCGATCAGATGATAAGGGATTAGTTCGTTTGTGTACGAAATTATAACTATTTCATTTATGACAACAATAAGTTTAGACATTTTCAAAGTTTGCAAAATAACAGTAATACTGTTTCAATTCATTCACAAGTGTTTGAATCTTTCCGTTGTTAGTTTTAAGGAGTGGAAATGATCAGTATTTTTTGGTATATGTGTATTCTTAGCATAATGCTTCTATAATGCTACTAGTCATTAGGATGGTTAAACAGAGAAGAATATTGGCTAGCAGTGTTCGTGACTAATGGAAATATCGAGGCAACCCGTTCAGCATGCGCATGCTCCAGAAGAAACTGATCATCGTGGTTCTCAACATTTAAAAAAGAGCGATTCAAATCCTCACAATTAGACCACAACGCGGTTTCAAAAATCTGTGACTAACTGTACCCAGTAGTTAAGTAGGTAAAATGTCTGTGTTTTAAGTAAAAGACACTGGATTCAAGTCCGAAGTGAATATTAGGACTGATATAGATACCTCCAGTTGACAGGTCCCAAATGAAATAAAATATGAGCCATGAATTCCACCGCTAGTCATTATGCATTTTTGCTCAATAATCGTGTTTGTTAATCAATTCAATTTGTTTTGTTGATACCAGTACTAATTGTTAGATCATACTAAACTCAAGCTATTAATCTATGATCAAAAAAAATTACAAAAAAAATATGGATCGCATGATTTCTGATGAAAAATTGTAACTAGTAAATTTAAGAAAATAATAGGAGTGAAATAGAAATCTTCAATAATATTCCATAATAACCATACAATCTCTCGAATTAAATGAAGTTGGGAATATGAACCAATGGATTACAGATGATAAGTCTGCGATTTGTTGAGCTCGACATGAGGCCTGAATGTTCTAGAATTAGTATAAAGATAGATCATGAGTACTGACTACTTAGAAATCTCAAACTGAAAGGAAATAACCATACAGTACTCTCTGGTTTTCAATAGTTCTCTAGCTGATATCGGTCTTTGACTAAAGCTATCTCTGATAACTTATCGCCTGAAATCATTCAAAGTGTTATATTACAAATATATTCAGTATACTTATCAAAAAAACTTAGCACAGTACTTCAATTGTTTCTTTATTTTACAGGATAACTTGCGGCAAACTCTCCAATTTCACAAAATACAATCCTGTTCTTATCAATCGAAACATCAACACTAGTACCCATAATAACAAGAACAATACTACTACTACTACTAATATAAGTAGTACAAATCATACAAAATCATCAAATCCCCTTAACACAACAATCTCTATAAATATTCAAACTATTAGTAAGACGATTCAACGAGCTAAACTGGAAAATGTTAATTATAAACAATCCAGAACAAAATCTAAATGGGGAATTATTAATTTGTCCACATGTAATAATATACATTCCGATATTTTAATTGATTTAAACACTTCAACGAATAGTATGAACGATGGGAAAAAGAATATTTGTTACACTTATGACAATCATTATCATTATTATTGTTGTTATTATTACTATTATTATTATTGTTATCATTATCACTATTATTCATATCAAAAATCACCTTTGTTTACATCATTATGGTCTGAAAATATCTTAAATAGTGGAATTAAAGATATCCAACTGGTAAGTAAAGAAATAAATTTTTTTGAATTAAATTTAGTTAGACAGTTTGTAAGAAATTTTCTTATCCACTTTTTGTCAAGATAGTTTTCATTGAAACTTATGTCAGTGCAAAATGACGAGTAAAATCATTTAATGTTAGAAAAATTAAATTATATGGTAGAAAATTGTGAAAGAGAAAACCTAATTAACAAGCCCACAGTTCAGCGAACAACTTAATCTCAGTCTGACTATTCAAGAGTTTCCTTCAGTATAACTTTATGATCCGCTATAGGTTAAAACAACGGTTTTTTTAAAAGTAAATTCATCATAATTTTGTGAACAACTTGCTATTCTTGAGTAATATGTTTCTGTATAATTCCCGATTTCATTAATTCTAGACATTGGTTCGAAGTTAATCCATATCAGATACACAGATAGTACGATATGAATTTAATTACAGTGTCTGTCTTCATTAAAGATATTTATGTGAAGAGACATGAGAGTTCAAACTGCAGAGAATTTATTTCGCGACCTTGTTTAGATTAAAATGTTCCCGAAATCATCAGCAAGTTTAAAAACATTTCTGACATTAAATACCACATAAAATTAATTTTTTATAGATTTAGGGACAAATTTATACTGTTTCATTTGTATAAATGGAAAAGTCATGTAAATTATAAGTGAATAATTCATTAAAGTATTTATATTACTCACTGAATTTAAGTAGGCAAATGGTTTATGCTAAACATAAAATTTCAAGATTGGGAAGTAAAATCTATGCATTTTAGTACCTAAAAGAAAATCAAGCTGAAAAGATCAACGCTACAGAGGTGGCGCAAAATTTGCATGTTTTATGGGTGGACATAAAAACCCTAGTTGTGATAATAAATTGAAACAATAACTAAAGCAAACCGATGAAATATTTGAATTCGATCAAAATCTAATAATTTCATTTCAGTGCGAAGCACTGTCAAAAAAATATGAAGGTAAAAATGATACATTGCAGTCACTAACACTGAATAAAGTGGCTGAAACTTGTTATTCCTTCTCAGTCATCCAACAGGATATAAAAATGTTATACTGTAGAAGGGTTTAAAAAACAAATGGAGATTAGGTCAAAACAATTGGCTATTTATCTAAACTGTGTCAGGAAGTTATAACTCTCTGAATAAAGTCTCTGCGATACCCATAATCTATGGCAGAGGGAACTTGTTGATGTAGCTTAAAAGAGATAGCAGTAGCAAAGATTCATCAATAACTTATTTCCTCTAAATCTGGAAATTTAATACTGTTTTAAACTTACATTTCCCTGCTTCATTCAATACTTTTAAGTGCTTAAATTTTTATAACACTTGATGGTATTACATCTAATCTTTTTGTTCTTATGTCTGTAATTTTATTAATCTGTGATAATATGACGTATGGCAAATTGAATCCATACATATTTATGTAAACTGTTTTATTGCTCATAGTTGTCAAACACTAATCTAAGCATAGACCTCTAGCATACATAGAACTCCAATCTAAACTGAACTTTGGTAGTAATCATTTCATATAGATAAACTAGAACAAACTTGAAAAATATTATTTATTTATACACATAAATATTGGTACAAGGAAGCACCAGATAAATATGCGCCACATAAATATCATTTGATTTGTGTGAGGGCTGTGATACTGCCCAGACTGAAGCAGGTGGTTTTCTTAGGGGGCCACACCTCCAGCCTTTAACCTGTAGGCCTAGTCCACAAGGCAGTAGAGCATCTTAAGGAAATGCAGTTCCATGGTAGCCGGTGACCAACAATAGGTTGATACGCCATTTGTTTCTTCAGGATCCTGGAGCCCATGTGAACTATTGGTTTCGAATCAGGGTTTTCCAACTCCCCTAGGTAAACTTTCTGTGTCCACCAACCCGGTTAAAGCAACGAACATTCGCTTTTCGTCCTCTCAATTTCGTAAACAACACCCGTGGTGCGAGAAGGCAGTGAGTAGGACTTCCCTGACAGAGGCTATATATTCGCGCGGCCATGTGAGAGCATTTGGAGAGGGAGAGCGGACTCTCCCCACTCTCGGCCGTACCAGGGCATTTTGGGGGCAAACCATTTCATATAAATAAACTAGAACAAACTTGAAAAATATTACTCTGATATTATGATGGAGATATTACCAATATTTACTTTACGTAGATTTTGACGTCAGTTTGCAATTTGATCAATAAAGTCGATCAGTACTAATAAGAATTTTTGACATACATAACATTTTGTCACTAACCAGTAATCGGTCAATTGCAAAAGACCATGCTTGTTATTTATTAATGTTTATTAGATATAAGATTGCCATAGTATTTATTTGTTAACATTCTATGTAATTGTTTGAGATCAATTAAGAGTATTTCTAGGTAATGCATCAATTAAACACTAAATTTGCAAGTGCTCTAAAAACCACTACAATCAACATCATTGTTTAGTTAATCTTGTTTAATGTCCCAACTATTCCCCCTGTTTCATGTGATCAATCTAAATATGATCAACATGCCTATATATAACGTAATGAAATAGTTTATATCACATTTCTGGGCATTTCACATTAGTGACTATAAATATTCATTATATGATATGTTAGTCATAGGTTACTAAAGAAATTACATGTAAATACTTTGTTAATGCACGAGATGTAATATAGATTATACATGGTATTTATAAATATAGGCCAAATGCAATTCTTAGAACAATATCCGAATCAGTGTATTATAAATTATTGATGAATAATGCACCAGGTAATTCTGTTTTAATTTTCATATAAAGAGATTTTGAAATTAGTCAAGCAACAATCATCAATAGGCTTTTCTTAAAGAGTGGCATCTATGGTATTGTATATGTGTACAAAAACGTAGACAACTGTAATTTCAGAATACTATTGTTCTCGACAGTGTTCTCAATAAATATCACACTGACTGGTTCGATATTACCTTATTATTCTTAATACATTGGATTTATTATTTCATTGTTAATTATGTTAATGGAAGTATTTGAAATTTGGCATCATATTTTATTGAAATGAGAAATAGAAAAGAAAAACAAACAAACTATGCAGTTATTGATTTTTCATTTTACTATAAGCAAATAGTAAAACTTTATTAAAACAAAATTTGTAAATAAATTCTGTTTACTATTTCTCTTAAAATAATTTCAAGTTTAACAGTACAATCTACTTGTAGCCGGTTGGACTTATTCAGCAAAGTATGTCAGTCAGTCAGTCAGCTACAACATAGGACCAGGCATATATATGCATCGGTCCAAGTTGTCATACTTCGTTAGCACAACAAGATGAACACCGGATTCATAGAAGTAATTAATTTAGTGGTGGTAGTACATAAAAGATGGGTTGTATATAAGGATATAGTACAGGAAGGAAGAAAGTTATAAAGCAATCTTAATCTCAAGGTTTAAGGGAAGATAAAGAGTGTATACACCTATGCCACTGTGATCGATTCTGAGCCATGTCACCTAGAGTCTCCAACCATTGGTTATGATGATCACGCGGACCCCAACCAAGTAGTCTGCATCTGCCAACATGGCTAAGGCTAGAAGTTAGTGACTTCATGCTCTGATGCCACGTTTTGGTTTGGCCGCCCCTAACTCTCACCAAAGTATGACAGTTATGTAGATGAATTTTGCATTGATTTTTGAAAGATTTAAGGATCTTTATTTATGATTTTGTATTATTTTTAAGTTGAAATAACTTTTATGTTATGAATTAACCAGCACTAACAATATTTGAATCTTAAAAAGTTTATTTTACTAGTGAAAAAGAGACCAGTAATTAATGAAAATCTTGATTTGAATAGAATGATACAAATGGCTGATAGTTAATTATTTATTGATTAAAATGATTACATAGTTATAATTATTAAATAGAATCAAATTCTGAACAAATCTCAAAAAGAAACAACAGAGCAGCTGATTGATTTTGATAGAACAACGAAATAATGGATTTGATCTGAAAAAAATTGATAAATTTCGAACAATCTGATCAAACATATGAATGTCAAGGCAAATTAATAAAGGTCAATTGAATGAAAGTTCAGGTAAATGAAGTGATAACTGTTAATAAAGGAACAAGATAATTAACATAGTATAGAAAGAATAGGAAATTGTCACATTACTCCAAGCTATAAAACGATTTAAATATTACCAGGGCAAAGTCATGGTTACGACAAACTATATCTGTACAGAGAAATGGGGGTTTGAATTTTTGGATAACCATTGCTACTATAAACCTAAGAACTCATCATTGGTATTTTCTATACAATGTTTTAGAGGCTGTATTGATATCAGTTCAATGTTCTGTTTATATGTATATACATACGAAGAGATTTTTTGAAATGTAAAGCGCAAATACATCACATTTCTAAGATCGAATCCGTTTTTTTCATTTTTCTATCAAACTTTATAAATACGATTAATTGTTCTAAACTGATTGATTACTAAATTAATCTATCAATCATTAATGCAAAATATTCAACTGACCAACATTGTTTCTTTACAACAAATAAAAGTCGATAAGATTCCATACATATAAACGGTGCATTTATAATTTGGATTAAGTTATCATTATAATTAACAGTATATTTATCTATAATAAGTTGATTAAATGATAAAATAAACAATACTTGATTGTTAAATAAATCAACATTTAGGAGCACTAAATGTTCATTCAGTTGTCATTTGGAGTTGATGTAGAAAGTTACGACTTTCTATGTTATTACTTTTTCGTAAAGTATATGGTTGATGAGGATTGGCAAAGCAAGGGCGGCATTTCTACAATTGAAGAACGTATGGAACTCAAAACAACTGTCAACTAATTTCAAAGTGAGAATCTTCAATACAAACGTCAAGACAGTCCTACTGTATGGAGCTGAAACGTGGAGAACTACTACATACATCGTCAAGAAGGTACAAGTATTTATAAACAGTTGTCTACGCAAAATACTCAACATCCATTGGCCGGATACTATCAGCAACAGCGTTTTATGGGAGAGGACAAACCAGCTTCCAGCTGAAGAGGAAATTAGGAAAAGACGTTGGAAGTGGATCGGACATACATCAAGGAAATCATCAATGTGCATCACGACTAAATCCCTAACTTGGAATCCGGAAGGGAAGCGGAAAAGAGGAAGGCCAAAGAACACACTACGCCGGGAAATAGAAGCAGATATGAAAAGGATGAATAGCAACTGGAAAGAACTGGAAAGGAAGGCTCAAGACAGAGTTGGATGGATAATGCTGGTGAGCGGCCTATGCTCCTCGACGAGGGGTAACAGGCGTAAGTAGTAAAGTAAATATGGTTGATGAGAAAATTATCTCACTAACTTACGGAAAATAGTTAGAGAGTATACTTATTGCATTTATCAATCCACCATCTTTAATTCTGAAACCAAATAGGGATTTTCAATTATGGTTACTAACCCCATGTATGTAGAGTAACATGTTAAAAACAATCAATTATTAATCTACACAATTTAAAGAATAATATAGGAATAATTTCTTAATTGTGAGATAATTAAATGGTGTTAAGTATACACACTACTAAATAATGTTGTTTCCAAAAGAATTGAGTTAATCATCAACTTTACTAAACGCATCAGTTAATTAAGCGATGAAATTTCTACGCCTGTTGATAACATCCAAAACAGATGATATTAATAACTGAATAAGGTGTTAAAAATACAGTGAAGAAACAACTCTCTGAAATCTTAAAAATGTGAGATCATGTGTAATGCAGATTATTGTGGAAAACAGTTCATTGAATAGAGTTGGTTATTGAAAAGTTGACTTGTCTAGTAAGTTTATTATTCATTTCAAATATGAACTGATCAAACTATTTGCGTTTATTTTAAATGTACATATAGTGAAAGCTTTCATAGACTTCAGCTATATACTCGCTACCAATTATTGGCAGTTATTAATACATAAGGGAACCAGTTTACAACAATGAAGACATGATGTACTATTGATCCCATACATTAGTATAATACACAACAAAAAAATTGAATATAGTTTACATTAGAGACTAATTTTACTTAAACAACTATCAAGAAATCGAAAGCACTGGATGTATATTCTGTTCTAGTGTGGGATTCTTCATATTTCTGCACTCATGAGCTTTCCAGGAATTGAAGCATAAAATTTCAGGCCACTTAGTTAGTACCCAAGTATTCGTATCTCCAAATTCAGTGAGTGCTAGATATTGTGGGACCGCCATCCATTATTAATTGTAGTACTAAACCCAGCCCTAACAATACTTCTTACAAAAAATTTGGAAATTCATTTCGACGTCACTAGTGAGTACATGATCATATGACTGATTTGAAACAACAAATGACATGATAGGTTATTAATTTTTCGATTTTTTTTCTTATTTTAGGGTTCAAAAATACCCAACATCAATTGTGACGCTTGTACTCAGAAAATTAATATCACTCAAAACTCCAATGAAAAGCACACTGGTAACATGGAGAAAATATTCATAGAAAACGAAACAGATATTGTAAGTTAGTGTTATTCTTGTGTTATAAAACAGTATCTAAGTGGTTAAGACACTTTTAACCATTATGTCCCATTTGATTGCCTATTTTTTTGAAAAAAAGTTGCTAGTATCACTAATTCTTAGGCATAACAAGTAACTCAATTAGTATAGCTACAAGCCTGTATGATTAATCGAAATCTCTGTAAACATTAGAATAATTCATCTTTTCAAAGGTCAGGTTAAGTCATATAGGTGTGTAACAATACTAATTGCTACAAGATAACGAAACATTAGGAACTTTATAAAGAATTTATAACAAGAATGAGAATATTCTTTATTAACCTGTCAACTCAATCATATACAATGAGTGTAAGGTCAAATTTATGAAGCTATGAGTAGCTGACTTGTTTAGCTCAGATTATTAAGTTATAAAAACTTAAATGATTATAACTGTAAAATGTATGTTATACATTGAATTTAAAAGGAAACTTAGTCGGTACCATGTATATGACCAAAAAATAAAATGATATAAATTAGTAATCATAAATATTGAACAAAATAAACCGTAATGTATTGATTATTGTGTTCATTTGCTCATTAGAACAAAGTCCAATGTCAACCTATCTCTGAACTGACTTATCTTTTCTCGGAACAAGAGTTTTTTATATGATAAGATAAAATTAGATTCCATAGTTATTTAATTATTGTGTTGCGAGATATGAAGGTCCTAGGTTCGACCTTCGGTGGGCTCGTTCATGTGCACTATTGAGAAGTTCTATAATAGGACATAATAGTTCTTCAGGGCTTCCTGGTTTTTAATGTTTGTCGAAATTAGTTTGGTCTGTGACTTCAATAACGTTTACTAGTCTATACGAACCTCCGTACTGATATCTAATCTAGTCTACAAGAAATGGCAAACTGCTATAAGACTCATAAAACAGGAAGACAAATTATGATACAACTCAAAATAGTTTTTAAAAATATATATCCACTTGATTTACACATTACCAATGTACTTTTACTCTTTTTGGTGATAATGAACAGATGATCGAAAAGTTAATCATGTCCAATCATTCCCTATTATTTACTGTATCAATCAATAAAAATTAGTATACATTTAAAGTGTTCAATTTTTACTGTTATCACCTGACAAGGAATGAATGTAGAATCGTGATAGCATTATGCGGCTGATTTAAAATGTGAATACTTTTTAGAAAAAAAGGATGTGACTAACTAATATTTGATAGATGATATACAGTTTGGATAGAAGTAACATAACATTTTGACGTTTCCATCTAATTATTTAGATATAGTCGGGTATTTTTATGTGTTATGAAAGATGTATAGTTACTAAGGTGTTCATAATTAGCGAATTAATTCCATGTAATTATTTTCCAAAATTGTGATGTGATTATCAGTCAGATTTTATACTACAACTTGCTTGAGCATTAGGCCGATAACACTAGTAGGAATCATATTATGGTCACTTTATCTTTGCATTAACGTTCCTAGTGTCAGCATTAACTTGCCAACCAAGGTTATCTTATTTGAAGATATAAACCAAGTTTATACCAAAAGGAAATACATTCTGTAATCTCATAATTGTAAATTCTTTCTCTTATTATACCATCATTAAATCTAGTAGTTGATAATTTTAATTATCAGAAAGGGTTTTTTTGTGGAGACTACAGTAATTGAATTTATGAGTCAATTTACTGCTCAATAATAGTCACCAGTTAATACGTAGGACGATCATATGTCGAGACTCCATATACTTACCAATGACTACATAATTTCCCTAAGATCAGATCATCTGGGATAACTATACATTTCTAATATATTTTTGATCTGAATTGAATTTTAAGTCAACTTTGCGTGGAGAACTTGATTTAATGTCGGATATCTCGAAGGAAATATTGTCAATGAGAATATTAACACATTGGTCACAAGTAGACTTAGAACAACCTGATTCCTTACTTAAAAACAACCAAATATTGTTTGTTCACTTAGAATTATAATCTTTAAGGATCTCGTATTAGAAAACTTAATGTAATTCTCTGAAACTTGAACTTTAAGCATCCAAACTCTATCACGAATGATATGGAGTTGATAGTTTGATGCTTAGAATGATTAGGCTAGATATCTAGTATAATCTTCCTCAATAACTTTCACCTACACACTTCTACTTGATAGTTATCTTAGTCGAAATTAACGAATTTTAATTCTACATTCTTAAATTTGAATTGATATATATTGAGATAATTTTATATCCACAATTCGGTTTATGACTTAATCACCGTTGAACTACACATCTTATGTGAGTATATACGGGACGGGGTTTGAACTTGAAACCCAGCGGCTAGAAGCTAAATACTTTAATCAGTAAACAATTGCTCATTTAAATGAAAAGCACCATAAACTGGATAGTCTAAGAACACATAAAACCATACGAAAACTCTTAGAGTGAATTTTGTTGAAATCTTGGGAAAGTTTAATATATCTTATTCATATATTTATTGCGATAAAATGACATGAAAGTTTGTTTCTTTTTTAAATAATAGGAAGTAATGCGATATATGTCTCAGTTTGATTTGATCAAAAACTATGCTCAAATAAGATCCGAAAATCAAAAACCAAACAGACTGGTAAGTTCTAATGATTATATATATATATCACCTATCTGAGCTCAGTAGCTAAGTGGATAATGCGATGACGTTTGAAGGGAACGATACTGCTTTCGAGTCCTAGAGTAAACATCAACTCTGGGATGCAGATACATCCAGCTAACGAGTCCCAAATATGAAAAATCGTGAATTCTGGATTCCACTGCTAGCCACCATCTATCTCTGTTCATAATGCTTGTAACTTAAGGCAATATCGAGGCAATCCATACAGGATGCACATATGCCAAAATAAGACTGATCAACAATAGTTCTAAACGTCAATTAGAACATTCATACGACTAATAGAAAAATGAATTGAGTTATGTATGTTTAGGTGTTTGACTGTAGTTTGTGAATATATATATAAAAGAAATATTTGTTATTTATGATTTTAGAAAGATCTAAAATTATCAGTTAATTTACGTCCGCCAGAACCTGTTGGTTGTCAACTACTGCAAATGAATTCAGCACCTGGTAAGTTTAGTATTATTCATAACTTTATTAAAGGGATCCTAGATATAAAAATAAGAAATTATTGAGGGACCACATTCGAGATAGTTATCGTGAAATGACTTCACATAGCGGAGAGTTGAAAATTAAGTATACCGGTCAACTGTTTTGTTTGAGTCGGGATAGTGAAATAATTCGTTTCCTCGTTTTTCACTCAGTACAATATGGATTGAGAAAAAAAGAAAATTCAATAACGGGAGTTGGGGATATCACATGATTTTACTTGTTCAAGTTTAGAATAAATAATTAAAGATAACAAAACTTATTATGCTCTTCATAATGTAGTCATTGTGAAACTATTAGATCTAGTAAGGCAGTATATATACAAACCACATAACTCAAAAAGTTCCAAAATGAGTTTCTGCAGTCGGCATTCGTTAGGAGTAACTGCTAAAAGAATTTACAAAGAGGCAGGATTATGTATCACAAGATTAAAGATATGGTTGTCAATAAAGTGGTAACTGAATGGTGATTTACCATTTATCAAAAACTGACAGACCCTAAATGCCTTGGCATGGCTGAGGTCACGTGTATACAGCTGTAAGGGAAATCCGACTGACAGCCTTCTCATGATAGGGGTGTTGTTTACGGAACTGAGAGGACGAAAAGCGAATGTCCGGCTCTTTAAGCGGATTGGTGGGTATGGAAAGTCCACCTAAGAAAGTTGGAAAACTCTAATTCCAAACTAATGGTGCACATGAGCTCCAGGATCCTGAGGGAACAAAAGGCGTATGAACTCATTGTTGATTACCACCCACCATGGGACTGCATCTCCTTAAGTTGCTCCACTGAGTGCGGATCGGACCTTTAAGTGGATGGAGTGAACCCCTGAGAAAACAACCTGCTTCGGTCTGGTAGCCCGGGCAGTATCCCAGACCCCACACAAATCGAATTTGTGTAGCGCATATATATTTGATGCCTCCTTGTACCAATGTTTACGTGTGACTGATAAGATCTGGTTTACGATACCAAACCTACTTGGGAAATAGACAAAAACAAATGATATCAAGAGTTACTCAACTCTCGTTTGTTGTCCTCTAAAACCAATGACAAGTACATCACTGAAACAAGTTTTATCTATCCAACTGCTATGGTTACAAGAATCCACCTTCCTAGCCGAAAATAATGATCATAAAGTATACCGCTAATAGATTGTCTTCGCCTTGCACTATCAATCTAGTAGGATAACCTAATGGGATGTATTTATAATTTTACAATTTGGATTAGATTGTCTACCTATAGTCCTTATTTACAAATATAAAATTATAGACCCTAGTAAATAAACTCAGTAAATGTGTACCTTTCATGAAGTATGGGGGACTAGCTGTCGGCAAACTTTCCACACACTTCGTGACACAGTTATTTGACATAGTGTATTGTAAATTCGGCAACAGACCAGTGCTTACTTACGCTGTTTACTACTCTTGGAGAAGAATAGGCCTCTCACCAGCATTCTCCATATAACTCTGTCCTCAACAATCCTTTACAGGTCCTGTTCGTCCTTTTGACGTCTGCTTCTAATTCTCAACGCAGTGTGTTCTTTATTCGTTCTCTCTTCAGTTCCCCTTCAGGATTCTAAGTCAGGACTTGCCTCGTGATTTCCGAAATGTATGTTCTATCCACTTCTAATGTCTTTACCTAATTTCCTCTCCAACTGGAAGTTGATTTGTTCTCTCCCATAGTAGGTTGCTGCTGATGGTATCCAGTCGATGAACGTTGAGTATCTTGTGTACAAAATCGTTTATAAATACTTGTACTTTTATGATGATGGTTGTAGTAGTTCTCCAAGTTTCAATTCCGTACAGTAGAACTAACTGTTTTGACGCTCATATTAAAGAATCTGACTTTGATATTGGTTGACACTTGTTTTGAGTTCCATATGTTCTTCAACTGCAGCAGTGCGTTTCTTATTTTGCCAATTCTTGCCTTTACGTGTGCATCGAATCCTCCCTATTCATCGACGATGCTGTTGTCCAAGTACTTGAACGTTTCCACATCTTCCAGAGTTTCTCCATCAAGTGTGATTGGGTTGGTGTTTTCCGTGTTGTATATGAGAATCTTGCTTTTTCCCTTGTGTATATTGAAGTCTACTGATGGAGAGACTGCTGCTACAGTGGCTGTATTCACCTGCATTTGTTCGCGTGTGTGGGGTAGAAGGGTCAGGTGATCTGCGAAGTCCAAATCGTCTAGCTCCATCCTGTCTATTGTATTCCGTGCTTCCCCTCAGAAGTGGGGGTTTTCATAACTCACTAAACCATCAGAAAAAAGAGGAAGGGGCAGAGTAAGCAGTCTTGTCTGACACCAGTCCTCACTTTGAACGCATCTGCCAGATGGCTTCCAAGCGTCACTTTGCAGTGTAGTTTGTCGTATGAATTCCGGATAATGTTGACGATTCGCACAAGTACACTATGGTGTCGGAGAAGGTTCCATAAGGTTCTATCCACACTGTTAAACGCTTTCTCATAATCAACGAAGTTGATGTAAAGTGACGAGTTCCATTCAATTGACTGTTCAACGATGATCAGTCCGCGGTATCGCGATTTGGTCCGTGCACAACTGACCCTTACAGAATCCAGCTTGTTGATCTCGAAATTGGTCGTCTACCGAGTCTTTCATCCGGTTCAGCAACACTCTGTTGAAAATTTTTCCTGGTACCGATAGTAGTGTGATTCTTCTGTAGTTCTCACATTTGCTCAGATCCCCTTTCTTTGATATCTCAATGAGACATCCTTCTCTCCAATCTATCGGTACTTGTTCCTCCTCCCAAATCTCCCTTAATATAACGTGGAGCATCCTTGCATTTGCTTCTGTTTAACTTTAGTGTTTCGGCTGGTATATCGTCAGCCCCTTCTGCTTTCCCACTGCTGATCTGTCTGATGGCCATCCTGATTTCTTCGATCGTTGGTGGAGTGACAGCTATGGAAAGGTCATTATCGCGTGGTTCACTTGCTGCCTTCCCATTCTTCGTTTGCCTGATGAACATCCTCATTTATTCCATTGCTGATGAAGTGAAAACTATAGGAAAGTCTCTGTATTGCTTCGATGTCCGGTGGGTTTATTGGTGCTGGTCTATTCAAGACTTCTTAAAGGTGTTCTACCCACCTGTTCCTCTCAGTAATTGGCTTGTCCTTGACTGGTCTCTCTGGTTTATTACATTTCCCTGCTAGTTTCTTCATATAGTTGTTTTATAATTCTTTCTCTTGTAGTTTTTTCCGATGTCGTTGCTAGGTCTTCCAGATATTTCTGCTTGTCAGCTCTAATGCACCTCTTCATTTGCTTGTGCCTTGACTTTCCCTTCACTTGTTCGACTGTTCTTAATTGCTGTCTTTTTCGAATCTTGTCCAGGGTTTCGATGGAAATCCACTCCTTATGATGCTTCTTGTAGCCCAGAACCTCCTGACACATTGAAATTAGTGCTTATTAGATCTTTTTCCAGCTGTCCTCCATAGTAGTTTCTTTTTCCTCCAATAGATCTTCTAGGGTTTGGAACTTGTTGTTGAGAGCTATCTTGAATTTGACAAGTTTGTCATTATCTCGAATGAGGGCTGTATCAAACCTTTGTAACGTCTTTTTCTAATTGTTCAGTGCTTCTTTAACTTCAGTTTCATCTTGGCAATCACCAGGTGGTTATTTGAAACTATGTCAGCACCTCTCTTGGTTCTCACATCTTCCATTGACCCTTTGAATTTCTTAGTGATGCAAAAATGACCGATCTGGTTCTGTGTAATATGATCCGGTGAGAACCATGTAGCTTTGTGTGAAAATATAGCGCCGCCTATAAACATTTTGTTGAATGCACATAAATTTGCAAATCTCTTACCATTTTCGTTCCTTTCTCCCAGTCAGTCGACGTCTTCTCATGATATCTTCATACCCGGTGTTGTTTCCGACTTTGGTGTCTAGGTCTCTCATCAGGATGGTTAGGTCCTTTCCTGGGTATTTCGATATGATCGATTGCAGCATCTCGTAAAACTGATTTTTATCGTCCTCACTGTTATCAACGGTGGATACATAACATTGGATAACGCTCATTGTGATTCCCTCCTTTTCTGTTTTCAAGGATGCTTTGATGATCCTGGGTCCATCAGATTCCCATTCTATAAGTGCTCTCCGTGCCTTTTTTTACAGCATCAGAGAAACTTCCTGAGTGTGTGGAACGTCTCCTTCTTCGTGATCAGAGTACAGAAGTATCTCTCCCGAATCTAGCCCTTGCTGTCCAGCTTGGGTTTCACTGATTCCGAGCACCGCTAAGTTGTATCTCCTTATTTCCGTAACTATTTTACTGGTCCTCCTAGTCTTCCACATTGTCCGTACATCCCATCCACGTATATAATTACTGTTATTCTGGTTGTAAGAAGGAGCATCGACCTCGTGAATTTCGAAGAATCGCGGGTTTTATCATGAGGCGTCATAATTCTTCCTTGAACTCAGAGGACAGAGTTTAAATGGTTTGATCTGTCTAATCTGGTTAGCATTTCTTAGCAAAATTGTTTTCTACGGGATGGGTTAGCTGATCCCATGCCCAACCCTCCTCCTTTACACGGGCTTGGGACTGGCAGAAACCCTAGAAAAGCTACAGGCGGAAACAGACTAGTGGACAAACTTTAAGTATGCCACTGTTAAATCTATAGACGAGAAAGTCATGGTCACAATACATGTGAATTCAGTCAACGAATTAGTGAGTTGATTCATGTTATTGACACTTGAAACTTAGTTACGTCTAAAGTTTATGAATATCATTTTTGTCTGTTGTGAAATTTTAGTTACGAAAGGATCGTGAACACTAAATACATGAAGCTATGGTGGAACCTAATTTTATATGTACGAAAAAACATACAAAGGAGTTAGGCCACAAGGGAATTTCATCAATGGGAAGGAAAAGTATTCTCCGACTTCTTATTATTCAAGATGTATAGTTCAATTATTATGCATTGTATCATAAGAAAACCAGATGCAAAAACTAGTTTATTTTCATTTTTGTTAGACACCTTTTACACCGTTTCACTGACCGAGTCTCAAACAATCCTTTTATATCTGTATTGTGTATTTATCGCCAACAAGTCCATCATAACAGATACACACCTCCGTAAATCAGTAAAAAGGTCTGTGTGCCTTGTCATTCCACTAATTGTTCTTAAATAATGTCAGTACAGATCAGTCCTGAACTATCATTTTAAATTTGGCGAGTGTAAAACGAGTAGCACCGAATGTAGTCCTTTCCTCATAGAGTTCAGAAAATTGTGCATCATGTCAGTGACGTTGCCTGACAGAACTATGAACATAGGTTTGAGTAGGAATTTAATCTCAGAAAAGAACAATATAAACTATGATATCGACGAACTCAAAAATTTAGGGTGTGACTAAGCATCCTTAAGATTTACCACTCGTTGTCTCCGTCTAAGATGACAACTCTCCAGATCTTTACCTGGTTGGGTGGCATAGAATTGAACCCTTCAAGGAAATCCAGTTCCCTGAAAATTATAGGTACACCTTTGTGACGAGTTACGAATACCGTGAAACCCAAGTTCATAGTTTCCTGTCGAAAAACTAACATAAAGAACTGAATGTTTTTTTGTCATAACGTAATAACTGAGGGATTATTAAGTCCCGAAACAACACTTTCTACCAGTTGATTATGGAAGTAGATGCAAGATACTGTCCATAGGATCTGGATTTATATCGAAATTAGTAAGGCTATGACTTACATAATTTGACACTTAAACTGCACTGCAGTAGCAACAAAAAACGACTCAGTTAAGTGACATTAAAGCAAAAAATGTATCTGTATAGTTTATAAGAAGGATTTATTTTTTTCTAAACGAGTTGATAGATAACAATGAATTGTTCTGTGGATTAGCTTTTAATAAACTAAAACTATTTCGAACACCCTGATTGAAGATTAAAGATGACTTTTAATTTTTAACCAACACACTGAATTGTATAAGAAATTATGTGATTTCCATAGATGAGAACTTTTTTCTATTTACGAAACAAGAAATCACGACATACTTGGACACATTAGAAAATGATATACTAAACCCTTTAGAGTTCTGTGTTTTAAGAGTAGAAGTGGAAACAGTATTGTTACTATCCTATAAAAAAGCGGTCATAATGTACAAGAGAGGGAAAAGTTAGAAACACGTGAAAGGCAGCTAAAAATTTAATTTAAAGAATAACTACATATTCGTCAATTCCGGAAAAAAGACGTGCTACTCGTTGAGAGCGTTTAACTATGGTGTCGGTAATAGATGTGACGTCACGAGAAAGTGTCTCCAATGTTGATTCCAGGGGGTCGTTTTTGGACTGAATAACAAAATCTTTAGAAAACTGTGGACTGGAAGGAATATGTCTAGGAATGTCGGCAAAAAATGGTGAATTGGAAGACTTCTGATATGATGACAGAGCAGGTGAGGTTAAAGTAACAAGTCTGGATGTCTGGAAGGGTGAATCCACAGTTTGAACAGTTGGGTTTGAGAAGGAAGGCACATGACTCGATAATAGTGTATCACGTTGTTCAGGAGCATTGGTACCAGTGAGCTCACTAAATTGATCACTGTGAGATGAACGGATTACTGGAAGACGATAATCAATAACCCAGTTCAAAGCCTTACGACCCTAAGTCAAAAATAAAACAAGTTATTATCAATCCAAAAGAATCAAATTGTAATATATATCATTTATATGAAGGCGAAGTTGATGTAAATATTTGATAGTCATATCAATAACAATTTAAAGACAGAACAACTGAGATAAGACCAAATTAAAAAACAGACTATATACTAATAGACAAACGAAAATAATTTAGGGTTACACTCTACAACCCATTTATTGGCAATTCTTCTATGTGATGCTTCATACAGTAGATACCTACACAATATCACAATATATACTAAGTTTTTCAATAATGCTAGCGGAACGGTCAGAGTTAACAGTTAAATGTCGAAATTCAACCAGATAGATGAATATTTCAGTTTGTAACTAAATAACTTGATTTGGTTTCCTAAATTATTGAATAATAACTTAAGCAAAGAGTAACACAGGATTCATGAGATCTGTTGTTTAATATCGATCATGTATTTTTTGTTCCGCAGAATTCATCAAAAATTGGCCAGACAAAATACATACAAATGATGGTGTTTTTAGGATAGAAGTTAACTGTATTTGCAATAACATCACTTTTAGCAATTGTTTGATGTTCATAAATTCATTCTGCTATAGTTTACAAAGGTAAAAAGTACAGAATGGAATGACGAAACGATGACCGAAGTACTTATTTTACTTGTCTTGAAATTTAAATATGACATATCTCAGTACGATACAGAAATCGAACAAACAATGTCAAAACTTTAGGACGTACCTGATGTGCATTTTGTTTACTCATACTCACAGCTGACATTGCAATAAGTGAGAATGCTTTGACTGAAATTGAATGCTCTAGAACAGTCCTGTAAAACAAATAAAGCTGATAGTTATGGTCAAAGATGCAGATTTGGTAGTGGTCTACTAAATCATTTTAATAGTCATACGAGTAGAGTGTAACATAAATCAGAATCACGTGAAGCAAAAGAGAGTATCGCAATCGGGTTTTGCTTATCAGTATGCTGGATGCAAGACTTGATTACACATAAACATACTGCAGGAGCAAATTTAAAGAAATCAAATGGTGCTTACCAGTAACACCAGGTGAGAAACATCTGTAGAGGTTAAGTTCATATAATCTTAGAAAATATCGAAAGTACTGATTACCGTTCCAATCCACCAAAACAACTACGGAATGACTTTTGGTGCACTTTAAGCAGAAACTATAGGTGAGTTAATTTCATTCAATTTAGCAGTATAAATCATTTGCTTGAAATTGAGTTACGCAAATAAAATAATAGTGTGTGAGCAACGTAACGATGTGGTTACAACGGAGAAATGTAGTTTATTTAAGCGAATGTGAAATCAATTCTCTGAATTAATATGAATTTTTATCGACTGTTGACTACTCATTTAGACTGCACTGATGAGGCGACTCCGTCACAAGATAGTAAAACTAGTCAACAAAATGTTTTCTCTTGTAAAACGACAGAGTTATGTAGAAAGTAAACAAAAAATTAAAACAGTAAAATTCGTTCAAAAAGGTTAGATACAAGTTTTATAAGTCACTTGACAATCAAACTATGGCCTCACTACCATGTTGACGCTTGCCCACCCCCATATCAAATGTATCATCAAAATCACTAAGTTGCTTTTAACAAAAACCATTTTTTAAAGAATAAAATTTAGTACTTCGGAACATGAGGTAGTTCAACTTCCATTTAATTGAAACGAAACCTTAATGTTCAGCTTTGAACTATGCATATAATTAAAAGGAAGAGGGTCTAGTTGACGTATACTACAGCAGACGGAAGAGTTCGACGGATCACGCTGCAGCGTCATTAAGAGAGAAATCACTAGAATGAAAGGATTATAAATAGGTGTCCTAATAAACAGAAACTCGTCTATCTGGAATTTATTAATCCTACTATGTTATTTTGTGGCAACCACCAGTAGAATATGCAACTTCCAATCATTTTATCTTGATCTATTCTTTCATATCTAACAAAAATTAGGTTTGAAAACAATGAATTTCTTTTGTCACCTTTAATCACCATGTTTTAAGTCCCCTGGGTAAAACAAAACAGAGCGTTGAGTAGTAAGTCCGTGAATGGTCAGATGTTTTATGGGAGGAAAATAGCGAAAAACGCTTAAAAAGCCTTTACTAAACATGCCATTAGCCCACTTTAGCGGACTGAATCACAAAACTTTCCAACATACTAATGGTCTTAGGAACCCCATGTGTGCTACAAATCATTATAAACGAGTATCGAGCAACATGAAATGGCCATGTTTACAAATAACTTTTGTTATAGTACCCTTCAATTTTAATCCGCAGTACTCTGGCATGGATTATTACGTTTATGTATAAAATATTGCAACCACGTTGGTTATTAGGGTTTAACTTCCACATCAGGGTCAGAAGTATGTGCGAAATATCTGCGACACATAATTGATGAAATCAGTGTTACTGGCATTAGGAAAAGGGCGGAATTTGTCAACGAAAACAATGGATTTTGAGACCTAAGTAGTTGAGTGTGAATGACGCTCCAACGTCAAACGTCTGCTTATACCAACACTGTGCTAACAAGCGAGGACTCTATCATCAGTATGTACTCTAAGAAAGAACTTCCGGTTATTGTACAACCGTAATAGGTTCTTTGCTAGTCACATCCATTTGTCCATGCTCCCTAAACTAGTTATGTATTAAGGTGGTTTGTATAAATTGAAATTAACCCAATGTGCAGTAAAAAAGATATCCTGTCTGGATTTGGAGGATAATTTTCGCTTATGATGGACAATCAAGACGTATATAATGTGTCCATAATCAACCTAAATAGGGTGTTATTGTCAACAATTTGGAACAGGTAAAATAAAGTGAGATCTGGGTGGTACAAATATTGCTGAGATTGTGGAAATTTGTACCCGAGGTGGATGATCTTGATGGGGTTTTGTCCTCAGAGCTGGGTGATTAGATCGTCCTTCTGAACGACATCAGCACAAACTTCAAGTCGGAGTGAAGTGTTCGAATTTCTCGAGGTCTACAGGACAAGCTGTGAGCTATATGCGGAGAAACCTGAACACTTCAATTCTACCTGGGGGTTTTGCTGGTAATGTCACTCAGAAGAACGATGAAAGCTACACGACCAAACCATCCAGCTCAAAGAACAAAACTCCATCAAATTGTTGAACTCACCAATCTGTGTTTTCGGGGTGAACAGTATACTCCATATGTTCCGTACCATTGAGCACACCTTGGAAGTCGATATTTACTGTGTCAGAGACCATTCGTTTGTTCTGAACTTGAATACAACTATATTCCACTGCCTTCAGTTGACCCATGTGAAACATGGGCCATGAAGAGTTAATCAGTTTGCAACTGTGCATAGCACCACCGGTAAGATCGACCTGACGATTGACAACATCTATGTTTAGTACGTTTGGATTGTATGGGTTGGGATATTTAAATTGTACAGAACTGACAACATCATGCCAAGGATGTCTAAGAAAAGTTAAATATAGTTTAAAGCGAAGTGTACTTGATAACGAACTTCTCCGACCAACGACGAGTGTCTGACAGCATCACTATTTGCAGGAAATTGTGTTTTCACGAGTTTCTAATTGTGAAAACACTAGAGATAAAAAAGATGACACAATTCAGTAGAGATGCATGAAACTACGATGATATTGTGGGGCTAGGAGGAACGGGATAAGAAAAATTGGTGGGAACTAAATAAGCCAGAATAGATGTATTGCTTAAGGAATCACATTCATTAACAGTCTAACATGTCAACAAATGTTAATAAAACATTAAAGTCATACCTGTAATTCCCAGATTCATAATGAAGGGATAAAAAGGTCACAACGTTTTTTTAATTGAAAGTTGATCATGGATGAATTTTTGGTCTCTTTTAAGACTCCATTGGTCTCGAAAAAACAGAAAAAGCCTTTATGAATATTTAGAAATAAATATGCAGTTTTACTATATCATACTTATCTATGTTACTCGAATTCACCTTCAAATGATTCAAATGGTTGAGGATGGAATAGAAGAAGCTTTCGCTTAACGGGCTTCCCTGTCTAGTAGCAATGGATCACCAATACCTCCAGGCAAGAACCTAGGTATATGAACGATAATAGAGGAAAAAAAGAATTTGGTAAATAAAAATAATATGTTATCCTTAGTACTTAAGAATAAGTCAAGTTTCTTCTTAAAGGATTCCTGGAAAGTCGCTTGGACTAGCTCAGTCGGCAGCTAATTCCAGCATTTGACAACTCTCAAGGACGAGAAGTTGCGTCTGCAGTCTTTTCTGCTATGTTGGGTCTCCAGTTTTTGGGTGTTACCTCTTAGGTTAATGTTGTGACTAAGCTTAAGTAGATGTTTAAGGGGATGACCAGAAATGTTAAGGACACTGTAAGTCATTAGAAGATCACCTCTAAGATGCCTGTACTCTAACGAGTAAAGGTTAAGTGATTTGAGGCGCTCATCATAAGGTTTGAATTTGAGTTCCCGAACTGATTTCGTGGCTCGACGTTGGATACGTTCCAGAGTGTCCTAATCCTTTTGGAGGGAGGGAGGAAATACTATGTTCCCGTACTCTGGATGAGGATGAATAAAGCTATTGAAGATTATGCGGAAGGTTCTACCGTCAAACTGGCCCAAAATGCGCTTCAATGTTACCAGTGCAAGGTTTGCTTGGAATGCGTTATTGTCACAGTCAGCGTACAACTTCAGGTCGTAGGGTACCAACACTCATAAATTATTTTCGATTGGGAAACTTCTAGAGAGGAGTTTCCTAAGTTGTAACTGCAGTCTGCAACATGTCTCAGATGGACTACTTTGCACTTTGAAGTGTTAAAAGTAAGTCCGTTTTCATCTGCCCAACTTTGAAGTCGAGTCAGATCCTCCTCAAGTGCCAGTTTATCCTTTTGACTACGAATCTCTCTCCAAAGTTTCAAATCATCAGCAAAAAGCCATTAGTCAGATGTAACTTGTTGAGGAAGATCGTTAATGTAGATCAAGAAGAGAAGAGGTCCTAGTATTGAGCCCTGGAGGACCCCACTTAGACATTCCATACCCTGAGAGAAATTGAAGTTAGCCGTGACCTTAAAATGTCGGTTTTCTAGATAAGAGGGGGTTTGATACCCAATCGTATACGCTTATTGATAAGACATATATGACTGACCCTATCAAAAGCTTTTGAGAAATCAAGGCAAATAATTTCAACCTTCCCCTTGCGATCAAGGATGGTTGTTCATCTATCCTCCGCAGTCAGCAGGTTGATCATACAAGAATGACCCTTTCCGAAACCGTGTTGTTGGGGTGAGAAGAACTTTAGGGGTAATAAGTATTCGTGTATACCATCGTATATTAGAGACTCCATAATTTTAGATGGTATAAAAAGAAAGGCCACTAGTCGGTAGCTTGAGGGTTCACTACGTCGACCTCCTTTGAAAATTGGTGTGATGTGAGCCAGCTTCCCAATTTCCGATAGTTTGCTCGGCTTAGCGAGTCTGAAATCGTCACGCTAAGTGGTAATGCCAGGATTGATGCTGCTTCCCTCAATATAGCAGAATGAACCATATCCGGACCGGGAGAAGTGTCTTTTCTTAGGTGCTGCAGTTTACGGAGTACCAGGTCAGAGCTCAGGTCCACGTCGGAAAGTCCTGTGCAGATGCAGGTGAAGCTTTTGTCAGTATAGTTGATGTGGGTCGGTTGGAATGTGTGAGAGTATTGTTCAGCCAAAAGGTTAGCGTCATCACCGCCGTTATTGGTCGGACCATTAGGACCTAGCAGTTGGGAAACTCCAGTTTTGCCTTGCCGAAGAGAAGCTGCGTAACGGAATAAGCTTTTCGGATTGGAGACAAATTTACCGATAAGCTTGGTCTGGCACTAAGGCCTGTCTTCTCTTATTGCCTTTGTGCATATGTCCCTTATATGTTTGTATTGACTGTACTCGCCGTTATTGTCCGTTCGTTTATGTGCGGCCCAACAGTGCCTTTTGCGGCTTAGCAAACGACAAGTGTGGTTCTTGATGATTGCAGGTTGTTTGTAGCTTTTTGAGACTATTTTAGGAACTGAATGCTCAGTAGCACATAAGATCGCATGTAGTAAGAAATCCCAATGAGCATCCACTTCAAGTTGAAGTTGAACATCCCAATCAACCTGTTATAGATAGTCATGTATAGCTAACACATCCGACCGTTTGAAATTCCAGCGCCTGTTGTTGGTGGGATATCTTAGCTCAGTTTTGCTGACAAAACTGAAAGATAGAACTGAGTAACCACTTCACCCCAGGGGAGCCAGGATTCGTAAGTCGTCGACTAGGAGTTCTTCATTTATGAATACCCAGTCTAAGCACGATGGCGTCTGACTGTTTCTCCAACGAGCTGCCGACTTCACATTCTCGAATTATCCCAGATCATTGATGAGGTTGAAGAACCGATCTTCAGTAGAGTTTTCACCTCCGAGACGCGTAGAGCGAGTTAATCCTTCCAGGAAACGATTGGCGTACTCGATGTCAGCAGTGGGCTTCCTGCAGATGATCCCAACTAGACACCTCGAGATGGTAGACAATTTTATTGAGCACCATACTGATTCATGAAGATTGAAAATCTCTTGGTTGTGAAGTCGGTGCGCCTCCAGGCATGGTCGTATGTATAATGCTACCCCGCCCCCCATGCCAATTTTCCTGTCGTTGCGAAATAAAGACATTCCAGGCATTGCTAACTCCTGGTCCTCAAACTGAGACGATATCCAAGTTTCGGATATTCCTAGCGTTGCTGAGTTCACGTACCTCATTCATTTTTCTTGCCAAACTCGCAGCGTCCATATATAAGCAATTTATGCTTTCACTTTGGAAAGCGTTAGCTTCTTCCTGTGTGTCAATATGAGCCTTGCGTGAGTTGACAGGTAGCCTACCTATACAATGTTTACCGAGTTAGTAGTCCCTGTCCTTTACACGTTTTTTTAATGATCAAGACAGTCCACAAGTAGAATTGTCAGCTCCAACTTGCGTTTGTGCTTGATCCTGGCGTCATGTGGCCTATCCGGATACATATGGATGCCAGTTAGCAACCGACGTTTGTTGGCACGAAATGCTTCCAGAGTTGCAGCCGCAATATGGGGGGGAAGGAAAGTATCTTCAACAGCCGGGGTCTAGAGTCTCCGTTTTTCTTGACCAGTCGCGTCACCTGTTGGGTCAGTATGTTTTTGAGTTTCAACGAATGCCTAATGTTATAATTGTGTTTTTTGCTATATAAACGATCCAGCTATTCCTATTGCTTAGTATTCTTATACGATGACACTCGACATGACCCCAAAATCAGAACACGTTGAACAGGAATCAAATTGTATTCAAAATAATAATAATAAGTGAACAGCAATCAGCAATCCATAGTTTAAATATCGTTCATATATTTATAGTATATGCATAAGAAGCTTATAGATTTTTCTGCAATAATATGCCCGGGCTGATCGGTTTAAAATTAACCAATCAGCGCGCAGCAACGCCATCATGCATAAAACATGCTTAATCCAATCTATATCCCACTAACACCTAATGAATTTCCATTTCCGAATATCAGAGTTTTCTTGAGCTGGGTTCATAATTTCCGGTACACCTTGCACAATGATATTTCTTCCACGGAAAATTGCCTCACGAGATTCTTTATGGATGTTCCGGATGAGATTTTGTTCAGAGGACGGTATGTCGGGCAGTATTATTACGTTCCCATCGGATTTCAGTAAGTGACTCGCTAACAGGACGTCCTCTACGTCGGAAGCATTCTTAAGTGTAACACGAAGCAGACTCGGGTGGTTTTGGTGGTTAGAGTCCTTCCACCAAGTCAGCCGTGTGACCGTCAAAGGCTCTATTCTAGGGATTTCAAGCCTCTTGATCAATGCTCCCCAGAGCATGCTATCATTTTTGTCTTGCATACTGAAAGGAAGGTCAGGGTTGTCAATAAGGTTCATGATTATGACAGAGTCGTCACGAACCGTAATTGATTTCCCAGGTTTCCCAGGGCGTCTAGGTACGGTACATTGTTGTTTGGGTGTTGAAGCGCGTTTTCGATTCCTAGGCTCGGTGATGACCGGGCGGACAGTCTTGAGGGTAGACTGTGCTGCCAAGTCACCAGTTGATTTCCGTACAGTACTTGGGATGTTCAGCTTCGGCGGTGACGCTTGGTCCTTTTTACCCCTGTTAACGTAGGTCCAACCACCTACAGGGTTTTTGGGAACCACTGTTTCATTCGACTCTTCCCTGAGGGACCCAAGTTCACTGAGGGAGTCGATCACTGTCGATGTCAATATGGCACTGAGTTTCAGCATGTCATCACTCGTGCATTTACCTGCACCATCGATAGTCGATCTGTCGATATCCCTATTCTTCTTTGCACCTCCTCTTTTGCTGCCCCTCGGGATACCGTCATTTACCAAGTTTTTAGACAATTTATTCCTCAGACCTGTTAGTAGGATTATGATGGTACCCAGCATAACTAAAGTATCAGGATTGCACGTAACGCATACCCACATACGGTCAGACTTGCTGAGTCTGCTATAGGCTGTTGCTGTTAGATCTG